TGGCGTTGATTTGACTGATTATTATCCATCAATTGAATGGGATATATTGTATGCGCCAGCTGTTCGTCACGTTCTTTTGTATCCATGTTGTAAAGATGACCCCTATTTTGACGTTACATTTTCACTTGTTATTCGGCGTAAACCATTATTTTATTTAGTTAATCTTGTTATACCGTGCGTGAACATTGCATTTCTTACTATACTCGTTTTTTGTTTACCATCGGATTGCGGTGAAAAATTGACGTTGTCCATTATGATTTTTGTCGCATTACAAGTGTTTTATTTGTTGCTTGTTGATCTCATACCACCGACATCACTCAAAATTCCTCTGTTAGGAAAATATTTGTTATTCACATTGATTTCTGTTAATTTGTCACTATTTATTACAATTATAACGTTGAATATTCACTGGCGTCATCCGAATACCCATCATATGCCAAATTGGGTTAAAAGACTATTTTTTGAAATAATGCCACCGTATGTTTTTATGAGTCGACCAACTATAAGCGATGCATTGCTGGGAAAGCAAAAACCAAATAATGACGATGATGATAGTGATGATAGTCGAAGCGGTGATCTTCTAGCTTATTTCGAAATTTTAAATGAACAAGATAAATATCCATCGGTTATACAAGAAGCGATTCGAGATATTAAATATATTAGTGAAACAAAGCGTGAAGCAGAAAAGGATGATCTCGTAAGTTAATAACTGCACTACCACATACATTTTCAAAGAGATAATGTCAGAAGAGGGCTCTATCTATATATATAAAGAAGAAAGTTTGTTTGTTTGTTTGTATGTTTGTTTGTTCTCTATGCATTCAGTCCCTGTAAGAGCTAAAGCAGCCAAAATTTGCATGGCACACCCTTGGGTCCAGGGGAAGGTCAAGAGGGGGTCGGCGAGACCGAAGGAGGGAGGGAGAGTTCCCACCCAGTTTTCAAAAAATGGTTGAAAGATTTTCGGATTTTTATGTTCTCCGATTTCTGAGGTACTTGCATCTTGCTTTTATATCTTCGCACTGCCGTTGGTCAAGGGCTACTTTCAATGTAAAACTTTTATCTGTGGGATAATTAGTAATCCGATCGTTGGACCGCTACAGTGAGTCTCATCGGAGAAGTCCGAAGTGAAATTGTTTTCTCGATAACTCAGCGGAGGTGTTTCGACAGCGGAGGGATGGAGAGAAAAAATGGAGTGGAGGAGTATTGGAAAAAATATCGATCACCCCGCCAAAAATAGCCTCCTACTTTTTCGAAAATACATCCCACAGAACTATTTGGGAAAATACGTCCTACGGAACGATTCAAGGAGTGCATTACCCAGGTGGAACGATATGGTTCCGTAGAGTGGATGCAATGATAGCTAAGTTTACTTACATTATGATATATCTCTACGAAGAAGAATGTTTGTCTGTCTGTACGCTATACATTCAGTTCCTGCGATAGCTAAGGTCACCGAACTCTCCACATCAGTTGCTTAGGTTTCAAGGAAAGTTGAAAGAGGG